GAATATTGTTTTGATGCCCGATTCTAGGTTTTTCCTTTATTTTTATTGCTTGTTAAAGTGTGTTAGGATTCGTTACGTGCTTATCTAGAAAGGTCTCAACTTTGCTCAAAGTGTAATGATTTAGTGTAGAAAGCTCGTGTTAGAATACCTAGGATAACTTTGCTCGCATATTTTCTCTTGTTTATTTTTCTTTTCCTTGAGTCATGGAGATTCCGGTAGACCAATATTTTTTTTTAAAAAAATATATATTTCAACATTTTTTTGAAGACGTGTTATATGGTTGGTTACCAAAAAAATAAAATTTTAGTGATTCGCAATTAGTATGAAGAATCAAAATTTTACTGCAATAACGATGACAAAATAACTTTGAAAACACCACTTTAGTTATTTGAAAGTTGTGCTATTAACATGATGGCACAATTTACTACATGCATGTATAGTTTATTTTTTTTATTTTTTTTATAATTATTAAAGTAATTTTTGCTATATTTCTTTAATGGTAAGTCAACCTATTTAATTACAATTTCAAAGAAATTATTTTAGATTTTTCCATCAACCTCTTTCAATATATATAGGTTTTTTAGTCCAACGATATTCACAATGGAATATATTTTAGTGCTATTTATTTACAAATCTCTTATTTAATTTTTATTTATTGTAGATATAATGTAAAATTTTTATGTTAAATTGAGAATAAAACAAAATTAGCTTTATAGAAGAAAAATGTCCTATTTTTAAAACGAACAAAATGTTTTTTAGATAAATTCTTTAGCTCTTTAAAAAAAATGTCATTTACCCACATGCTTTAACCCATAAGAAATGAGAATTGCATCATGAAAGAAATAACTGGCCCATCTGCAGAGCCCCAATGTATCCACAACAAACAAGGCCCAAACCCGTTAACCGACGCAATCGGCCCATAAAATATTGACTTCTCTGCTCCGCTTTTCTCCGCAGAACAATACAACAAACAGTACCCAGCCAGCTTTGGCAAACGGATATGAAAGCCGGTGGTGGAGTGGTGTTTGTAGTTCCACGCGCCGCCTTGATTCCCGAAGCTCTCTTCAGGCGCCGACGAATCTCTATCCGGTGCTACTCTTCATCTTTTCCTGGTATTTTAGCTTCTGTCATTTTTTGAGCACTGAACGAATTGGATATATAGTTGTGGGGTTCACCCGCGCATATGCACACATTAATGTTGATATTTGGGTTGTTTGAATGGAAGAACACTCATCGATGTGGCAGCCTCACGGCCGCCGGAGCATTTGAATCATCTTCTTAAAGTGCTTCAGCTTAGAGGTACTTTACTGTTACCGGCTTATAACTGTTTCAACTGCACTTGCATTTTCTGCAAATAAAGTAATTAAAGGAATTTAGATGTGCCGGATGCCATTTATTATGTTAATTGCTTTTAATGTTTAATTTATCTATAAAAACTTGAATATTCTGCGTTCTACATCTTGATAAAACAAATTATTGATCTGCTGCAATATCTTCTAGCCTAGGCTCTGTTTGGTATAAAAGGTGGAGGATTTGGTTTAGATGTTGCAAACTGCTGCTAATGTGGGGTGTGCTGATTGTATTTTGATGGGTTTCATTTGCATTGGATATTGATTTTCGATCTTACACTATGACAGGCGAACAAATTATTTCTCCTGGAGCCAAGCAAGGGTTGCTTCCTCTTGTTGTCCCTCCATCCAAGAATAATTCAGGTGCGCGGTCAATCTTTTTATAACCGAGGGTCTACAGTAAGTTAAATTGCTAATGACATTCATCTTATTTACTGGTGATAGGTTCAGTAACTGCATTGTTAAGATGGCCAACTGCTTCCACTGGGTAATGTGGTTCTGAATTTAATAGGCAGAGTTCAATGTGCATATGTACTTACTTAATTTCTCTTCTTAATGTACACAGGATGGAGATGTCCGTAGTAGAGGTTCGCAAGTATGGAGTGTGGCTTTTATCTAAGAATGTGAGTGATCTGCATTTGTTCATTAACCACAGCTGCATATTGTTTACTGAATTTGCACTGCATGGCGAACTGTGGTTGCAATTCCCATGTTTGCACGTAGAAGGGTGTGTGGATATGAACTTTACCTTGTCATTTTTCCTGAAAACAGGTCGAGCAGTATATCAACAGAATATTAGTAGAAGAAGATGTCAAGAACTCTAAAGAAAAAAAACGTTGAGCTGTTTCATATTTCATCTGATGCTGTGAATAAGTTCTATGAGAAGGGCGATTTTGTTGCATCTCAGTTGTCAAGCATAGAGAGCTACCTTTTGAAGAAGGTGGTGCTACAAACTTTTCTAACTGCCAACTTTAGCTTATTTTAACCAAGCATTAATTATTTTTCCAGGTGGGCTTGTTTCCAGACATACTAGAACGCAAAGTTAAGCAGCATTTTGACAAAGGAGACCATGTAAGATTTTGACCAAGCAGCAATTATGTGTAAAGTGGCCTTGATTACCTTTTTGGTGATACATGCATGCTGCTGTAAGGTTTCAGCTATGGTGACCGGGGAATTCTACACTAAGAGGGAGCACTTTCCGGGATTTGGGCGTCCCTTTGTCTTCAACGCAGAAGTTTTGTTGAAGTAGGAACATTTGTTTCTTTATCTGTATATCACTAAAAATTACTTCCACCATTTTTTTTAAACTTACTGTACCGTATTCTCTCCTTCTGTTTTCCTCGAGTAGGGTTGGACGAAATGGAGAAGCCAAAGATTCTGCGAGGGTGGCTTTGAAATCACCTTGGTGGACATTCGGATGTGAGTATCAAGTAGATGTTGTTGATTAGTCTTTTCAACTCGTGCTAGTTTATCTTTTCAACCTCCTCATATCTTGTGTAACTTTTTCTCTATTTATGCTTGTCAGGAAGTTGCTGGTATGGCTCAATGGGAGGACGAACAAATTGAGTTCATTAAAGAGAAAGTGACTGATGAGGGAAGGCAAGAAGATTTGAAAAAAGAAAAAGAACCTGCGCAGGTTGAATCTTGCTGATCTAGATTCTATTGAATTCTGTTTTTCTGTTTCGCCCTTTCTTATTTATCTAACATTCCATTCTCAGATTTCACTGGACGAAGCTATTTTTTTATTGGATTTAGCTTCTGTTGAAGGGACATGGGATGCATGCGTAGAGAAGGTTGCTGGCTGTTTCTGCGAGGCTGGACTTCATGATATTGCAAAATTTGTTCTTTACCGAGACTAATATTAGATTTGAGCATGAAATCTATGCATTTGTGCTTTTATGCATTCAATATTTGTTCAAGCAGTGCCTACTGCGACTTATGCTTAA